AAAACCCCCCCCCCCCCCCCCAGGAAATAACCACACTTGAAACTTTTCCGCCTCCATTTTTTGGGGGGGGGGGGGGCAGAGGGAGTTACTTAAATTGCCTTTAATTAAATTAGCCAGTGCCCCCCCCGAAATTAAAATGCCCCCCGACGTAAAAAATCCTGGCTGCGGGCCTGGCCTGAGGCCTCTGCTGAGTGCCTTGTATCCCCTCCTTCCTGCGGGGAGCTCAGGACAGCACACACCTTTGCCTCCATTTTATCCTTTGAGGATCAAAAACTGGCTGATTAATAGGAAACAGAGAGTGAGTAAAAATGGGCAGTTCTCTCAGTGGAGGGGGGTAAGCAGTGGGGTACCGCAGGGATCAGTCTGACGTCGATACCGGGTAAATTGGTGGAAACCATTATTAAGGAAAGAATTAGTAGGCACATAGATGAACAAAACCTATTGAGGCAGACTCAACATGGGTTCTGTAAGGGAAGATCTTGTCTCACTAACCTGTTAATGTTCTTTGAGGGGGTGAACAAACATGTGGACAAGGGGGATCCAATAGATATTGTTTACCTTGACTTCCAGAAAGCTTTTGATAAAGTTCCTCATCAAAGGCTCCTAAGTAAGCTCAAAAATCATGGGATAGAAGGACAAGTTCTTTTATGGATCAAAAACTGGCTAGTTCATAGAAAACAGAGAGTGAGTGTAGGTGGGCAATTTTCTCAGTGGAGGGTGGTAAGCAGTGGGGTACCGCAGGGATCAGTACTTGGTCCACTGCTTTTTAACTTGTTCATTAATGATTTGGAGTTGGGAGTAAGCAGTGAAGTGGCTAAATTTGCGGATGATACGAAGTTGTTCAGGGTGGTGAAAACCAGTGAGGATTGTGAGGCACTCCAAAGGGATCTGTCAAAGATGGGCGAGTGGGCGTCAACATGGCAAATGGGGTTCAATGTGGCCAAGTGCAAGGTGATGCACATTGGAGCCAAAAATCCTAACTATAAATGCACGTTGATGGGGTCCGACCTGGCAGAGACTGATCAAGAGAGAGATCTTGGAGTCATAGTAGATAACTCACTGAAAATGTCGAGACAGTGTGTGACTGCAATAAAAAAGGCCAATGCTATGCTGGGGATTATTAGGAAGGGAACTGAAAACAAACCAGCCAGTATCATAATGCCCCTGTATAAATCAATGGTGCGATCTCATTTAGAGTACTGTGTACAGTTCTGGTCACCACACCTCAAAAAGGGTATTATAGCATTGGGAAAAGTGCAGAAAAGGGCAACTCGAATGATAAAAGGGTTGGAACATTTTCCATATGAAGAAAGGTTAAAGCGCTTGAGGCTCTTTAGCCTGGAGAAATGACAACTGAGGGGTGATGTGATCGAGGTTTACAAGACTATGCATGAGAAAGAGCAGGTTGAGAAAGAGGTACTTTTCTCCCTTTCTCACAGTACAAGAACTTGTGGGCACTCAATTAAATTGCTGAGTGGTCGGGTTAGAACAGATAAAAGGAAGTCCTTCTTCACCCAAAGAGTGATTAACACATGGAATTCACTGCTACAGGAGGTGGTGGTGATGGCTACAAACATGGACAGCTTCAAGAGGGAATTGGATAAACATATGGAGCAGAGGTCCATCAGTGGCTGTTAGCCACAAGGTATAGACAGGATAGGAACTCTCAGTTTGGGGCAGGTGATGCTTTGTATTCTTGGTGCTTGGTGGGGGTCAACAGTGGGAAGGCTTCTAGTGTCCTGGCCCCACTGCTGGACCTCCTGATGATACCTGGTATTTTTGGCCACTGTGTGCAGAGTGTTGGACTGGATGGGCCATTGGCCTGATCCAACATTGGCTTCTCTTGTGTTCTTATCTTCACAACAGTCCTGTGAGGTAGGTTACTCTGAGAGAGAGCAGCTGGCCCAGTCTGGACTTCTCACTTTACTCTTCAGTGCATGAGAGAGCCAAGTTTGGTGTAGTGGTTAAGAGCGCAGACTCTAATCTGGGAGAACCGGGTTTGATTCCCCACTCATCCACATGCAGCTGCTGGTGTAACAGCAGTCACAAGTTCTCTCAGAGCAGCTCTCTCCGCCCCGCCTACCTCACAGGGTGTCTGTTGTGGGGAGGGAAAGGGAAAGGGATTGCAAGTCGCTCTGAGACTCCTTCAGGTAGTGAAGAGTGGGGTATAAATCCAGTTTTTAAAAAATGGCGGCGTGGGGTGTATCTGGCAAAGTCACCGTTCACCTAGGGGGCCAGCCCTGTGTGCCATCTTAGCTGCTCTTCACTCTCTGTGTCTTTTTTCACCCTTCTCCTCTCCCTGGCCTCCCCTTCCTGCTCTTCATTCACAGTCCCTCCTACCCAACTCCCCACCACTCACCTGACTGTAGTTGCCAATCGGCGAGGTGCTTTGCAGCGAAAGCTGGGGCGTGGACTCAGGGGACAGTGATGTGTCTGAGCTGACGGGGACAGCCCCCCGTGGGCTCTTGCTCGCTTCTTGCTCTGGGGAGTCCTGTGATAACTGTGGATGGATGGAAAAGCACCATGTGTGCACGTGTAAGACACCTGTGCAGCAAACAGCAGCATGGCAGAGAAGTTGCCAGGTGCAGGCTCAGTGCATACACGTGCACGCACACACAGAGAGGTAGAAGCTACAAGCATCTGCAACATACATGCTGGGGAAAGAGAGACGTCACACACCATACCCGCTTCCTTCTGTCAACGGCCACAAACAAGCCTGCCGGTGTACACTGGAAAGCCCGAGCCCTTCCATGAGTGGACAGCTAACTCCAGGCAGTGTGTGACCGAATGCAACTCGCAAAACCAACAGTTTGTTGAGGATACCCTCCTACTCGGAGACAGGAATGAACTCTGAAGAGGGGATCGGTAGCATTTTGGTAAGGCTCCACATTACATTAATGTCACATTTTACTTCTGAACAGCTCACACTGGTGTCCACAGGGATTCCCTGGTGGTCTCTCATCCAAGCACAGACCAAGCTCAACCCAGGCCTGCTTAGTTTCAACAAGGCTGCTGCATCACAAACCTTCAAACCGTGGCCTGGGATACTGGCCTTAAAGACCACTTGCTGCCCACTGGCCTGAAGTGGGTTCTGCTAGAAACACAACAACTTTACACTGACAGAAGGGAGGGGTAGGGAAGAGAGAGCACCTACAGGGCAAGGGAGCCTCGTTCTGTCCTAGTGTTTAAGAGTCATCATGGCTCCTTCCAAGAAATCCTGGGAACTAGGGTTTGGTGTGGGTGCTAAGAATTTGCTACCATCTCCATCAGCAAAAGAATTTCCAGGGTTCTCTAGGGAGACCGGATTATTGTTAAATCTGCAATATAAAGACACTCGAGACAGAGAAGGGAAAAAACCTGAATGAAGGGGAACAGGTGCAAAATGAAAAAACTTAGATGCCATGTTGGAAATTGAGATTAAAAATGGGTCTCAAATCTGAGCAGGTTGAAAACTACCATTTCAACAAGACATAATAGCAAGAGGGACATTAAAATAAGTGCAAGAAAATTCTTCTCAATTATGTAAAGTGAATAAGGACCTGTGTTTGGGTCTCTAAATGCTGAAGTTTAAGCATTACTATGTCTGGGTATGAAAGCTGGACAATGAAGAAAGCAGACAGGAAGAAAGTGGACTGATTTGAAATGTGCTGTTGGAGGAAGAGTTCTATGGACACCCTGGACTGCCACAAAGACCAGTCAGTGGGTTCTACATCGAATTAGCCCCAAACTCTCCCTAGAAGCTAAAATGACTGAACTGAGGCCACTGTACTTTGGTCACAGTATGAGAAGACCAGAGTCCCTGGAAAAGACGATAACGGCAGGGAAAGCGGAAGGCAGCAGGAAAAGAGGGAGACCCAACAGGAAGGAGATCATGCAAAGTCAGCCAATCTGCACTGTTCACTGGGCATTTTTAATCAATTTCCCCCAATTAGTTGTGGCTCCGCTAATCATGAGGAAGAACAGAGGAAGGCTCAGACTCTTGCCTCCCCCCCCCCGCCATCACGGCACTGTGCAGCTTCTCCTCTGTGTTGTGAAATTTCAGGAAAGCCTATGCCTGTGCACAATTTGTGGCTAGAAACTTTTCCTTCTTTAAGCCTGACAGCAGATGTTCCCAGGAAGCTGGAATCTAATCTCAAGTGTCACGGGCTATGCTTTTTTCTGTGCCCGTGTGGAACTGTGCCATAGACACAGCACTAGCAATGTCTTCTGGGGGAAATTTGGCCCATTCCCAGGCAGACTGGGAAGGGAGCCATACTCACGTCATCATCTGGCGGGTGCCGCCTCTTCCGGGAGATGTCGGGACAGGTATCTATTGTCCAGTAAGAACCCTAGAGAGAAGATTTTCACTTCAGTGTTAGGCGTCACAAAAGAACCACCCAGGATACTCAAGAGCACAGAGACAGCATCTCCCGGGCATGCTGTATGCAACAAGTCTGTCATTTTCATGCATTCTTGCAAAACAGGCTGGGCAAGAGAAATTCTGATGCAAAAATGTGACACGGAATGTCTCCCTGCAGGAACTCAGCAAAGTCTTCTGCTGAGAGAGACCTCTGGGGCCAGGAGCACACGATACCGTCTGGGAGACCCTGTCCCACTGCTTTCCCTGAAGCTTCCCCAAATGCACGCAGTTAGATGCAGACAAGCAAAGCCCCAATGCTTTCTTCTCCTCTACCTCAGCGGTAAAAAAACAGCTTTTGCCTTTCCGGAAGCCTGCTTGGCATTTCAAAAACATGTTCCCATCCAGGGCAGGAGGAGCACAGCCGCTTGCATTGGTTTGTCTGTCTGTTCACTTTTGCCCCATTTTGCCAGATGCAGGACCGAGGGTCCGGCTCACAGCACAACACAACACAACACAGCACTGGCAGGAGTCCTCTTCAACAGGCTGGTCAGCCACAGCGAGACTCCCTCACCTTTCCAGGGTCATCCCGCGGGCGAGGCACTTTCCGAAAGCATTTATTCAGAGACAGATTGTGACGAATCGAGTTCTAAGAAGAAAGGGGAAGAATTACATATACATCAATAACCAACAGGAGGTGTACGCGTAAAGCAAAGGTCACCAACCCCCCCCGAGATACTTCTGAGTCATGAGAAATATCCCGAGCTATCTCCCCCCTCCCACCAGCATCTCACCAAGTTTTGCTCTGTCCTAGAAACAAAACAGCCCTGACTTGGGGAGCCCCGGCAAGCCCGATCTTGTCAGTTCTCAGAAGCGAAGCAGGGTCAGCCCTGGCTAGCGGTCGGGTGGGAGACCTCCAAGGAACACCAGGGCCTCTAGTAAGTGAAACCGTGTCTGTGTGGTATTTAGCCACTGGCCATTACAAATGTACAAAACCATATCATGCATAACCATATCAGGCACCAGGGTCACTACGCAGAGGCCGGCCATGGCAAACCGCCGCGTGGGGGGGCACCGTAAGTCAGCTGTGACTTGATGGCAAAAAAGAGGAAAGAAACAAAACACAGACCAGGAAGAGCACCAAGAATGAAGCCGTCAACTGAGCAGCAGAGAGAAAAATCCTATGATTTATTTTATTTTTTTTTAGAAGAAGCCTAGTACAGATCTTCTTGTGATCTTTTCTAGGGTCGTGCAGCGGACGCATGAACTACTCTGCAGCAGCTGGCAAGCGACCAGAAGCTCAGGAGCTGCTTGTTGGAGACCACTGATATAAAGCCTAGGAGCCTATTGATTTAAAGGCCTGTTCCCCAACAGGGGTGGCACCATCATTCTGCCGTCTGTTTCTCAAGGCAAAGGGCTGGGAGACGGGAGTCACTATCCCCCTGCTGGCTTCCCTTAGCCGGAGTCCCCTCGCGTGTTCAGGGTCTGCTCTGCCAGAGAGAAGGGGCAGGCGAGGGGGAAACCGGAATTCAGCAGCCACCACCTCCCACCAGAGGGGCTTGACCAGGCTTCATAGTTGCCTGCAGGAAGATCGGAGCTGTTGAATCCAGAGCCAGCATCTCTCTTTCATCACCAGAGTGCTGATATTTTTGCACCACTCTTTTCCTGTCAGACTTTCCCGGTGAGCAGGCAAAAGGTGTCCTGCTTGAGACACATTTGACAGCCTGAGCCATGAAAAACGGCTACTCCGCATCTTCCACCCACTGAAACCTACTCCCACAGTTCTCCCAGTGAAGTTACCCAGGGATGATTCACACATCAGGCTTTAACCCAACCATGCCCTTGGCCTATTTAGCATGTGAAATAGCAAAATGATGTCACCATCATGAGTCATGTGTTGAACTACACACAGCTTGCTGGTAGACATGCCAATAGTTGGTGCTTTTGACAGCTGAATCAATGCGTAAGAAAGGCAAGCTGAGAGCTGAACTGTAACAGGGCTTTGTGAATGTTTGTTACTCAATCTGAATCTTTTAGATGTGGGCTACTGAATAATAATTATATCAGTGCAGGGTGGGAAAGTGGGTACACACTGGGGGGGGGGGATGCCCAATTGTAGGACAGTCCTGGGAACAGCAGTCCTACAATTCTACCCTCAGGACAACATCAGAAGGCTTTTGGCTAAGACCTGAAAGCTCCGTGCCCCCTTTGCCCTGCAGGAAGAACCAAAGATGCGAAGAGCGCCAGTAGGTTCATAGCAGCAGCATTTCTGGCATTCCCTGACAGAGCGCTGGGGGGGGTCAACAGTGGGAGGGCTTCTAGTGTCCTGGCCCCACTGGTGGATCTCCTGATGGCACAGGTATTTCTGGCCACTGTGTGACACAGAGTGTTGGACTGGATGGGCCTTTGGCCTGATCCAACATTGCCGTCTCTTATGTTCTTACTAGAGGAAGGAAGAAGGGGGGGAGGCAGGAGGGGCCGCAGAAGATCCTGCCGTCCATCCGGCTTCCCAGGTGGGCAAGAGAAGCGTCGCGGGTGGGGTGGGGGCGTAAGAAAGCCTCCTCCGTCTGTCCGGGTTTCCGGGCGGGTTGGCGAAGTGGGGCGGGTGGGGGAGGGAACTCGGGCCGCGGCGTGGGGCGCATTGCCAGTGCGCCGTCAGACACAGCGCTCGCCTCCTGCCTCCCAGCCCATGGCAGGGCAGTAGCCTTGAGCGGCAGCTGGGTGACACGGCCAATGGAAGGTGGGGAAGCTCCTGACGGACAGCGCAAGCTTCCAAAGACCGTTTGGTGTGCATTTTCTCTCCGCTGCGTGAAGCTGCGTCTGAGGTGGGACGTAGGCGACATGGCCAATGGAAGCCGGGGAAGCTTTTGATGGACAGTTCAGTCGTCGAAACACTGTTGGTGTGCATTCTCTCTCCTCTGCGTGACTCTGCGTCTTATTCAATTATATATAAGGGAGAGATGTTCATCAACAAGACCCATGGCAAGAACTCCTGTCCACCTTTCCCATGGCGTGGCATTACCTTGACCTGCTGCAAACTGGCACAGGAGCATTTGGGCCTGGAACTGGGCAGGTACATTCGTATAGGGGGAACTTCAAGTTTGAACAGGCTGGCAGGTTTAAATATAGGGCTGTCAAAAATCAGAAGGTAAATTCTTCTACACAGTACTAGCCAGTGTATTTTTTAATGTCACTTTGTAAAGCACCGTGTACGTGGGGTGGCGTAACAAGAAGAAGAAGGAGAAAATTCCTGTGCCTCATGTTACGCGTGAACAGGTTCCTGCTGGGGCAGACGGCCACTGTCCAGACTTGGGCCTTCTCACCTTCCAGCCAATTCCCGCATTCTTGTAGTAGTTTAGGGAAAGTTGTCACAGATCCAGCGATAGATCTCACTGAGGGTCATCTTCTTGGCAGGCGATGAATTGATCGCATAAGTGATCAGCGTGGCATAGCTGTAGCGCGGCTTCCCATCCTGATGGATCGCAGCGTCATCCTTGCTCAGAGTGGCGTTTGGGTCAGTGGGTGAGCCAGGAGGGCACTTCCGGGCAGCCCCAGGTGGGCACGCTTGTGAAGCACCCCCTAACTTCTCAATGGTGGCTCGAAGGGTGAGCTGTGGGAGCCAGTCGATGGACGTGAGGCTGCTTTCCAAGTCAGAGGCCATGATGCTGGAGGAAAAGGTATCTGCTGTGGAAACAGGAACAGACCATGTGGTTTCTTTCTCACATCCAACGGCCTTAGAGGTCTACAAACACTGACCCCCCCCCACCCCACCCCCACCCCCGGGTTCAAAGCCAAGGGCTTGCATGGCCACATCTACGCCAGTCCAAGAAGTCAGCACAGGCTTCAAAACAACCACTCCTATGACTACCTATGGAGAGCTCAGAATTCCCTCCAGAGAATAAAGGAACTTTTAAAAAAGTGGGCTCCTTTTTCTCTTCTTTTAGACTGTGAATATATGGGACATCCGTACCCTCCCCCCCCCCTTCTCCCAACACAGTCTGGCTCCAAAGGGCACAGCTGCAGGAATGAAAGGGGGGGGGCCCTGCGAGAAGGTTCTGCGGGCAGCCTCAGTGGCCGAGTTTGCCTCCCCGGGCAGAAGGGCAGTTGTCCGGCGGAGCTCCAGCAGCCTGCCAGCGACAGACGAAAAACCAGAAAGACGGTCCTGCTCACTAATTCAAAAATCAAACCACGTTTCCTGGCTGCATTTAAGCCAAGGGCAGAGATTCTTAAGGGCAGGGGGCAGCGTTCAGAAGTGGGAGGGATTTGGAATCCCCCCCCCCCCAGGGCCCACTTGCAATGGCTTCTGACACGGATCCCCCCACCTTGAAATTTCTGCCCCTGGCCCTTCACAAACTGGCACACAGCAAACTGGAATCAAAGTGGACAGTAAGGAAACTGCACCTGCGATCTTATGTATATATTATAAATATATTCGGGACTGCCTCCTCCGGTATGTCTCCAGGAGAACGTGATGCTCCACTGAGAGCAACTGAGTGGCGATCCCTGGCCCCAGAGAGGGTCACCCGGCCGTCCTCGGCCAGAGCCACGCCTTCCTCAGCCCTGCCTCCGACCTGGTGGGACTCGCGGCCGAATGGCATCAGGGCCTCGCGGGACTTCATGCAGTCCCGCAGGGCCTGGGTCAGGCAGAGATGTTCCGCCAGGCTTTCGGCTGAGGGCAGCGAGGGTCTTCCGTCATGGCCGGCACCCTCCCCCTTCTCTACCATCTCTCTCATTTCGGCCTCCTCTTTAACCCCCCCCCCACGAGGCAGAAACAACAGTTCAGAATGGGCTTAAACACAGATCAGTAACCCTATCTGAGATTATTTTAAGAATGTAAGCAATGTTTTTTTAAACTTTCCTTGTTTGATGTTTTTAACTTTTGTCGTACATCACCCAGAGCCCTGCCCACACAGAGACTGAGCGATCCATCGATTTAAACTCTAAATGAACGTGAGGAAGGTGTTCCCTCGCCTGCTCTTTCGGTGTCCGTCCCCATCCCCCCCAGAGCTCCCCTAGGTGGTCCCTCCGTGAGAAAACACGTGTATGACGACACTTGAGGAAGCTTACAGCTAAGATAATAACACAAAACACACCCCGATTAAAACGAAGCCACTAAAATACAACCATTAAATAATAGGCCAACATCATTAAAACAAGCCAGGGCGTGATAAATGATGGAAGCTTAGCCATGAATGCTGATACACTTTATGGGCCCACAGGCTTCCCATTTGGCTTTGTAAGCCACTAGCCAGCAGAAGGGTTGCCAGGTCTGGGTTGGAAAATACCTGGAGACTTTTTTTGGGGGGGGGGTTGGAGCCGGGAGAGGGCAGGGCTTGGGGAGGGGCCTCCGCAGGGCCCAAAGCCAGAGAGTCCACCCTTCTCAAGCAGCCCTTTTCTCCTCCAGGGGAGCAGATCTCTGTCAGCTGGAGATCAGTTGTGCAAGCGGGAGATCCCCAGGCCCCACCTGGAGGCTGGCACCCCTAACCCAGCAGGGCAGAAGTGAAAGCTCAGACAGGAACCATCTTGTTTCTTCACTATGGTTAGACAACATGTTGGGACACATCAGGCACAGGGGATCCCTGAGCAGACCCCCCCCCCCCGGTAGAGCACAGGCACAAGACAAGTCCAGCAACGTATCTGTCAGGTTCCACAGCCAAACAAAGGAGTACACGCTTATCATAAGGTTATACTTTATTGCAAGAGCTATGGAGGCAGTAACATGGTCACTGTTAGGAATGGCTACGTTCCTGCAAGCCTAATGGGATATAGGGTATTCGTATGCACACACACACCCCATCCCTAGGCCAATCGGCCTGACTCCCGCACGCGGGAAAAGGGGACCCCAGGCCAATAACACCAAAGCTGTGACTCTACACAGGCAGTCTACAAGGTCAGAGATAATAAGGAAGGAAGGAATGCAGCAGCAGCTGGTACACAGGTCAAGCAAAGGCACTCCTGCCCATAAACATCATGGCAGCATAGCTGACATTATCTCGACATCAGGAACCGCAAGACTGAGAAACCTGTAAGGCAACACTTCAGCCTTCCAGGATATTCAATGGGTGACCACAAAGTAGCTGTTTTATTGCAAAGGAACTTCAGGAACAGACTAGAAAGGGAAACCGCTGAGTTGCAAGTTATTACAACACTCAACAATGGAATCCCCAGGACATAACAGGGATAGTGGTTTCTTACCTCACTACATATGCTTACCTCAATCAGTCCCCTACATCTGTATTCTCACCAATCCCCCAGAAGGGCTATACATCCTCTTTTATTTCTTATTTGGAATAGCAGATTGTAATAAAAGCACCTTGAATAAAACTTCGTTGGTCTTGAGCTTTGTTCTGCACGCCCGTCTAGTACATTAGGGTCTCCATTTCAGCTACATGGATAAGTTTTTAATAACAATATATTTTAATTATTTACGTCAGACACCAAATGGACTATTGTTTCCATGTGAAGGAAAAGTGGGCCATAGATATAGTCCTAGACACGTTTGCTTGAAATCTGTGGAACTTGCTTAGTTCTGGTCACAGCGTGGGCCCACTCATTTCAGTGGCTGCTCCAGACTTAGGGAACACTTACACACTGACTATATGTGGGTTCACAGTAATTCGTGAAAAGGCTTACTGCTATGTACACGTGAACCAACAAATGATTCTTTGCACTCCTTGGGACTCTGATGCCAAATGGGAACCGTTATCTGACTAGTGAAAAAACTGTGTAACCAAATGGAAGTAGTCTCCATGCAAAGCACATGTGGCTACTGAGACAAGACTGGGTTTAAAAAATTTGAGATATTCCGGCAAGAGGAGGAATGTCAAAGGCAACAAAGGTCTGGAGGAGCCTGAAGAAGTCTCCCTCACTAAACCACAACGTGGTGGATCTGCACCAAGACAAAAAGATACTGGAAAAACATACACGAAGAAATTCAAAATATTTTAAAAACCAAATTCCCGATGAGACCAGAGACTATGTTACTCGGAATCTTACCGGACAACATAGACAGAACCTCACAAGACCTACTTAGATAGATCTTGACAGCAGCCAGAGTAATATTTGTAATGAAATTGAAGACAAAAGACTATCCTACCATAGAGATCTGGAAAGAAACCTTTTTTGGAACTGAAGTATTCACCTGATAAAGTCAAGGAACAGATTAACAAAGCCAGAATGGTACCCAAAGAACAACTGTTGCAAGACAGGCCAAAAAAAGACAATCACAGAACACCATTAGTGGTCATGTACAGCTCTCAACTCAAAACAGTTCAACACATTATCAGAGGCTTACAACTTCTACTGGATAATGAACGGTCTCTTTCACAGGTACTGGGGGGCAAGCCTTTTCTTGCCCAATCTCAAACAACTCCTCACCCACAATAATGCAACATCTAATTTGAACATGGACACTGGTACCAGAGCTTGCATTAAACCCAGATGACTACTTTGCTGCCACATACACCCAGGCAACACAATCGCTGGACCTAACAACATCAACGACATCATTTCAGGTTTATTCACCTGCTCATCTTCTAACACTGTATATGCCATTAAATGCCAACAATGCCCTTTGGTTCTCTACAGAGGGCAAACAGGTCAAACCCTATGCCAAAGGATAAATGGACACAAATCTGACATCAAGAATCACAAGAGTGAGAAACCAGAGAAAGCAGTGTGTGTGTGTGTGTGTGTGTGTGTGTGTGTGTGTGTGTGAACAAGATCTTGAGGTACGGGTGGACCAAAAGTTACATATAAGCAGCCAGCGTGAAACAGCGACAAAAAAGGCTAATGCTTTACTTTGTCAAGCCTTTATTGACATATGTATATACATACAATAGGAGATCAGGTTAAATATAGATCGGAAAATACAGATCCATATAGGGTAAAATTGGAGCTACGGCGCAGAAAAACAGCATAAAAGCAGAATAACCTAGTGGTTACTTATCAGAACGTATAGCCATAGCACTAAGAAGAAACCTTGCTACTATTTCAGTTGTTTCCGCATCTGGATTATCAAGTAAAAACAGAACCTTAAAATCGTCAGGAATCTCTGGGAATTGAGCTAACATAAGGTACAGAAGATCCTGGTGGGGCACCAAATAAAAGGGACACTGAAGGAGAACACGGGGGACGGTTTCAACACAGTCCTTCCTACGAGGACAGCACCCGCTGGAGTAGGGGACCCCTTGGGACCTGCCAGAGAGGAGAGCAGAAGGAAGGACATTAAATCTGGCCAAGGAGATGGCTCTGCGCAAATTTGGAGCTATCAGTTGATATGAAGATATACAGCTGGAAGACTTGCATTTGGAACAATCCCTAAATTTAGGGGGGGAACAGGTCCTGTTAGCCAAGCTATAGAGAGTTTGCAACTCTGAGCCCAATAAACTGGATTTTATTTTTTAAAAAGCCTCAGGCTCAGAAAGCAAAGATAGAGATTCTGAGGGTAAGTTCAAGGAGCGTATTTTGGCTTTGATGTGAGAGAGCCAGCTAGAGTGGGCAGATTCAGAAAGTAATTGGTACGGATAACTAGAGGGGTCAGAGTTGAAGTGGAGTCGCAACCAAAATTTAATGGTGTGGATCCATGCCTGAGCAGCCATCAAATTCTGTCCGTACTCCAAACATAAAGGCTAATGCAATCTTGGGGTATATCAACACAGGCATAACATCCAAACCACAA